CCCTCCCTCTACCCATCCATCTGCCCCCTGTCCCTCCCTCCCTCCCTCCGTCTTTCCCTCCTGCTGTTTGTCCCTCCCTCTATTGCCTCCGCCTTTCCCTCCATCCATCTATCCCTCCTTCTATCTGTCCCTCCCTCCTTCTATCTGTCCCTCCCTCTGTCAACCCATCCCTTCATCTGTCCCTCCATCTCCCTGTCTGCCCTTTCCTGTCTGTCCATCCATCTGTCCCTCCTATCTGTCCCTCCCCCATCTGTCCTTCCCTCTATTCCTCCATCAGTCTGTCCCTCCCTCTATCCCTCCATCAGCCTGTCCCTCCCTCTATCCCTCCATCTGTCTGTTCCTCCCTCTGAGCCCCTCTCTCCCTGTGTGTCCCTCCCTCCCAGCGTCTTTCCCTCCTGCTGTTTGTCCCTCCCCCGTCTTTCTCTTCATCCGCCTTTCCCTCCTATTTGACCCTGCCTCCAGCTTTCTCACTGTCATCTGTCCCTTCATCTCTCTATCCCTCCATGCATCTGTCCCCGTCTGTCTTGCCCTCCCTCTCTCTGTCCTCCCGTCTGTCCATCCCTCAATCCCTCCATCCGTCTGTCCCTCCCTCTCTCCCTTTGCCCTCGCTCCCTCCCTACCTACGTCTGTCCCGCCCTCCCCCTGTTCCTTCCTCTGTGTCCCTCTCTCCCTTGCGCTCGCTCCCTCCCTACGTCTTTCCCTCCTGCTGTTTGTTCCCCCTGTATCCATTCCTCTGTCTTTCCCTCCATCCGTCTTTCCCTCCTTCTATTTGACCCTGCCGCCGTCTTTCGCCCTGTCTCTGTTTTTCCATCCATCCGTCTTTCCCTCCTTCTATTTGGCCCTACCTCCGTCTTTCTCCCTTTCTCTGTTTCTTTCTTACTGTCTCTCCCTCCCTGTCTCTCGGTCACTCCCTCTGTCTGTCCCTTCATCTCTTTATCCCTCCATCCGTCTGTCTCTCCCTCTGTCACACCCTCCCTCTCTCTGTCCTCCCATCTGTCCCTCCCTCTATCCCCCATCCGTCTGTCCTCCCTCTGTCACGTCCCCTCTCTCTGTCCCCCCGTCTGTCCCTCCCTCTATCCCTCAATCCGTCTGTCCCTCCCCCTGTTCCTTCCTCTGTGTCCCGCTCTTCCTTTGCCCTCGCTCCCTCCCTACGTCTGTCCCACACTCCCTTGTTCCTTCCTCCGTGTCCCTCTCTCCCTTTGCGCTCGCTCCCTCCCTACGTCTTTCCCTCCTGCTGTTTGTTCCCCCTAAATCCATTCCTCCATCCGTCTTTCCCTCCTATTTGACCCTGCCGCCGTTTTTTGTCCTGTCTCTGTCTTTCCATCCATCCGTCTTTCCCTCCTTCTATTTGACCCTATCTCCGTCTTTCTCCCTTTCTCTGTTTCTTCCTTACTGAGGGAGAGACAGAGGGACAGACGGATGGAGGGATAGAGGGAGGGACAGACGGAAGAACAGAGGTAGGGACAGAGAGATGAAGGGACAGATGAAGGGATGAATGAACAGAGGGAGGGAGGGACAGAGGGTGAGACAGATGGAGTGGCCGAGGAACAGGCAGAGGGACAGGGAGGGAGAAACAGAGGGTGAGACAGATGGAGACGATGGGATGGGTGGACAGAGGGAGGGACAGATCGAGGGAGGGACAGAGGGTAAGAAGAAGGTAAGACAGAGGGAGTGGCCGAGGGAGGACAGAGAGAGGGAGGGACAGAGAGATAGGAGGGAGAGACAGAAATTGTTATAAGGCTACATCATTGACAACATGAGGAAATAAACCAGTGCAAGCCTTCTAGTTGATCTTCTACAATGCCAATTTCACAGCCTACAAGGCCTTCAGAACTCTACTGCCAGGATGGTGACCTAACCAACTAGATCCAGCCGCATCACACCCATTCTAAAAGATCTCCATTTGGCTCCCTGTTTCTGACTGAATAGATTTTAAACTTCTTAAATGTGTAAATGGCACCGTTCCTAAATATCTATGTGAACTTGTTCAATCTTAGATTCCATTTGGGATCAAAATCTCTCAGGATGAAAACTTTGGGTTTTCGTTCATTTGAAATTAGCTACTGTTAGAAGGTGGAACTCATTACCTATTAACCTAAGTCGATGCATCTCTTTATCGTCATTCAAAAACTCTTCAATTTTAAACAAATTATAACTCAGCGCTAAAGTCTTTATGTGGATGTTTTTTCAAGCGCTACAAGCACAATATTTCTGGAGTAAAGCCAAGGTAAATATAGTGTACAATCAGTTCAAACTGCATATTTGATTACTTTTATTATTATTATTATATTTTAGTAAAAAAGAATATCTTCGGAGGCTCTGGAGGAGCTGGAAAATGTGTTTTCAAGTGGGCTTACTTCTGTGAGTAAGTCCACTCAAAACCGTGTTGATTCAGTCGCGTCGGCTGCAGGATTAACTTCACAGCAAGTTAAGGTCCACTTAATAATGGGATCCTTTTATGCAGGTCATTCTTCCCAGTGGGATTTTTTAAGACTGGGAGGCTATTCCATAGGATCATAAATACATTAGTTAGTGGCAGATCGCCAGTCCCCATCTATATTTAAACTGTATTTACATGTACATGTATCTATTAATGCAAGTGATAATTCAGTATGCTTTCCAATGCCTATATCAGTCTATATTTAACATGACTAAAAGTTTCAGGAAAAAATTCAGAGGTGGTCTGAAATGATTGTCATCACTGCTTAATTACATAAACTTTTAGAGCACATTGTTTGTAATGATCAACCTTATAAACAACTACACTGCTACAGTAATACAGGCACTCGTATCACTTTGAAAAGCTAATACCAATCGCACATGAAAACTAACAGTTGGATATTTATGCTCAATATAAGTATGATATATATTTCTTTCTTTCACACAGAAGTAACAGCTAATCGAATTTATATTTCCTCAAAGCATTATATTTTCTCACAGGACTGGATAGGGAATAAAAAGAGAAAATTGAGTGGGCGACAGTATGCCAGAGTGCCAAATTATTTTAAAACTCACGGAACATCTTATAACCTGTTCTGTAAAGAGCAAAGTGATAGTAAGGATAATCATGTAAATGTAGGAAGTACAGGCTCAGTTTCTTGAAAAAGTCATCATATTTTAAAATTTTAATAGACTGAAAATAGTTCAAAGTAATTTGAAGTTGGTTTGCTTGATGAATTTTTCAGGAAATGTTAGCCCATAATCCTGTCATATTATATTTTTTGGTTGTATAATAATTATGTTTTGAAAAGTTTATGTTGTGGTTCTTATTACAGAAGACAAGTAATGGCTAAAAAGCATTTTTAGTATAATAACAAACCGGGTAGATGAACTTGTTTTAGGTGATTTCCTGACAATGATCAATTCAAATTTTTTATTTGTATACCATACTATAAATGTATAGATAAGACTTTAGAAATATTGTTATTTCTTAAAATTTTCACATTCAAAATAATTCTTAGGGCAAGGCACACTTATTGTTATTTCATTTTATACGCTCACATTGAAAAGTGGTCGTATATTGTTGTCGCCCCTGTCCTCCGTCGGTACGTCCGTCCGTCTGGCGTCCACAATTGCTTGTGGACGCTCTATAGGCTAAAGTTAATATCCGATTGACTTTAAATTTATACACAGTTTTTAAGGTCATGAGACAAAGAAGCCTATTGATTTTCAGCGATTTTCGATAATGACTGCCAGAGTTATGGCCCTTGATCACCTCAAAAAATCTTGTGGACGCTCTAGAGGTCAAAGTTAATATCCGATTGACTTTAAATTTATACACAGTGTTTAAGGTCATGAAACGAAGAATCCTATTGATTTTCAGCGATTTTCGATAATTACTGCCAGAGTTATGACCCTTGATCATTTCAACAAATCTTGTGGACGCTCTAGAGGTCCAAGTTAATATCCAATTGACTTTAAATTTATCCACAGTGTTTAAGGTCATGGGACGAAGAGGCCTATTGATTTTCAGCGATTTTCGATAATTACTACCAGAGTTATGACCCTTGATCATTTAAAAAAATCTTGTGGACGCTCTAGAGGTCCAAGTTAATATCCAATTGACTTTAAATTGATACACAATGTTTAAGGTCATGAGACGAAGAAGCCTATTGATTTTCAGCAATTTCCGATAATTACTGCCAGAGTTATGGCCCTTGATTACTTTGAACAATCTTTTGGACGCTCTACAGGTCAAAGTTAATATCCGATTGACTTTAAATTTATACACAGTGTTTGAGGCCATAAGATGAAGAATCGTATTGATTTCAGATAATTACTGCCAAAGTTATGGCCCTTTATCACTTTGAAAAATCTTGTGATCGATCTAGAGGCTAAAGTTATCCGATTGACTTCATATTTAATACACAGAGTTTAAGGTCTTGAGACGAACAATTATATTGATTTTCAATGAATCTTTATGACTTGAACAGCTAAATCCATGATGTTTCGCATACTAAACGTTAGCATGAGGGCAGAACTTTATAAAAACCAAACAAATTCTAATGGTTTTCTGATAATTACTTAATGAGTTGTTACTCTTAATCAGATTTTAATGTATTATAAATGTTTCATTACCGAAAAAAATAAAAATATGCGACAACGCTTGTTGACTGCCCGGACGATATAGCTGCTGTGGGCGTATGTTTCGTTGCCTGGCAACCTATCTTTTATTACATTGAGTAACCATACTGTATATATTTACTTTCACCTTGTCTGACTTTATGCGCATGAGCTTTATGTATTTATAAGAGCCCTGAATTTGATCCTGAATTATTGTTGACAAATGTTTCTACCATATTGTTCTTTAGGTTTCCTTGTTGAAATTGAATATTAATATTGTTTCACTGTTGTTTATTTCTTTTGATATTTTCAAGTTATATGAACATCAAGCAGAAGAAACTGATTTATTGTGCATTACAAAATTCATATATTATTGTCAAGCTTAGCATATAATAAGCTTGCTTTAATATGTTTTTTTTCAATGCACTTACTTACACCATCATGAAATTCAAACAGAGGTCATATTTACCTACCTGATTGTCAAAGAAATGGTTCTGTATAATTTTAAGTTATGTAACGGGTAAATGACGTGAGTGATATGCACGGATGAATTGCTTTAGACATTTTAATATTAATCAAATTTTTATCATAACAAAATAAACATTCCATACACATAGTCGTTATGGTAACTAACTATGATCTCCAAGTTGTTATTATTAATTTAATATTTATATAAAGAGACGGATTGATTATCAAATTTTTATATTCAGTCAAAATTTTACAAATGAAAATTCAAAGTTGGACACTTTTTTTTTTTTGCAGATGGAATCAAAGACATGAAAGCATGGTCTAATAATTGGAAAAGTCTTCCTGAAAACCAAAAAAGTACTTATTGTCAAAGAGCCAAACAAACTGTGCCAATTAAAACCCACCCAAAGTGTGAAAAAATGAGGATCTCTTCTGCTCTATTAAAACAGTTAGATGCTCTTGTAAGTTTTTATTATTGAAAACTTTTAATACTTTTAAACAATTAATCGTAGTAGTGAGCTTTGAAGATAAGGTAATCCAAAACATTCTGTTACTCTCTCTCTCTCTCTCTCTAAACAATTAATTGTAGTAGTGAGCTTTGAAGATAAGGTAATCCAAAACATTCTGTTACTCTCTCTCTCTCTCTCTCTCTCTCTTAAAGTGACATTTATTGCTAAATTTTAAAAATCTTGGATGCTTTAATCACATCTATACAATAAACAAAATGAGGATCTTATTATAGATACCGTAAACATTATTACTGAAATTTTTAATCATAAATCTTAACTCTTTCCAATATTAGCACAATTCAACAATTATTTCCAGAGTAATCACCATATTTAACAATGTGAATGTATGCTATTTTGAGTCCCACACTTGTTCTTTTTTTTTTAGCTTCAGAAAATATCAGACTGCGACATTGACATTGCTGCGGTTGGGTTTTCCAGTGATAAACTTTTTATCGCTGGAAATGGAAAAATGAAGGATTATTTTTCACAAGAATGTGTCCAAACATCAATAGTTAAACACTTCAGTTCTCAAACGTCCGGTCAAGGTAACTTAATAACATTATTTTTAGATTATTTCATACCTGAAGATGATTAAGGAGAATGAGTGGTACATTCTGCTAATAGGCTGTTACAGTAGTCTATTCTAGACAGTATAAGGGATGATGCTAATATTTTGGCAGATTCTGCAGTTAAATATTTTCTAATGTGAGTTTCCATTGATGATTCACGATCAAACCTTACTCCTAGGTTTCTCACACTTGTAGAAAAGAGAATTGAAGAATCATGTATTTTATTATGATTATAATCTGGTGATTAGATTTACAATTTTGTGAATGCACAGATAATTTTATTACAGAATCAAATGAATCAAATCAGGAGAACTCTCAGTTTTACAAGCGAGAGCAAGAGAGCACTTTAACAAGCTTTATGGTAACTTTATATTTTAACATTGATTTATATATTGTCATGTTATGATGATGTCTCTGGAAATGTTGTCATGTAGTTTGTATTTCTACAACCAGTGTAATTGATAGAAGAAGTAGCTTGTCATTTGAAAGTAAGCAGAGAGATTGTTAATTTTTATGGGCCCACGTTGAAATGTGGCTGTATATTGTTGTCTGTCTGTCATGAACACTCATCCCCAAAAAAGATATGGCAACCTTTATGGACTGATTGGACAACTTCGCACACATCTTTGAGTATCTTAATTAGAACTACATTTTATAGTATAATTTAGCCACGGTGGCTCAGTTAGTAAGGTGCTGACTCAGCAATCAGGAGATTCGTGGTTCGATCCCATCGTTTGGATGGGATGAAAAACAGAAGTCCTGTGTCAACCTTAGCATTAATATTTGGACTTGTCATTTGGTGACTCTCTGGTGTAGTCACAATGCAATCTCAAAATTTTAAATTTGATAGACAATCAATTTACAAGTTGTATGCCCACCAACAACCGATTGAGACTCCTTATTGACCCTTTAGTTTCATAAATAAGTTCAGAAAAATGTTTGTTTCTGACTTATTCACAGTTCAATTATTGTTTTTTTATTATTATCTTTAAAGCTAAAGCTACAAATTCAAATCGGAAATTCCCATATAAATCTGTACAGACTGGTAGAATATCTATAAAGGGACTACCCGTTCCATTACTTCCACTGGCACAACCATCCCATTGTGGAAGAGAGAAGCTTGCACTGATGTTATCAGTAGAAGAAATTATAGTTGATCAGTAAGTTATATTGCATGTGATATGGACAGTGTAACCTTACTCTTGGTTAAATAGAAATATTTTAAGCATGGTTTTGAAATATCACCATTTGAGGTCCATGCATCAAATCTGCAATTAGATCACAGAAGATGTAACACATGCGCTCGTTTGATCTTGAATTTTATCCAAACTCACTACTGCAAAAGGTTTTTGTTTGGCTTAAACAATGCTTAAATAATGCTTGGATGTCTCACAAGGACCTATATCAATTGACTATGCATATCACGTACATGTAATTTAGGTCCCATGAAAATCTATGTTTTTGTACGATAAATATTTTTTTGTGAAAAATACAATCTGTTTATAACATTTCTTTGATAATTTATACTATTTAACTTTAAATTTTGCTCTTTCTTTTTCTCTAGACCTGCACCCGAACAATCCGTGGGGGAACCATTCACCAATAAACAGATAACAGCAATACCAGCTATTAAAGTTGATCAGTAAGTTATATTGCTTATTGTAACCTTACTCATTGTTGTGGTTAAATAGAAATATTTAAAGCGTGGTTTTGAAAGATCCCCAACTATCTCTGACGTAATTGTATAGATTTTATAACAAAAAAAGCTAACTGGGCTAGGGGAGGGGGTGTCGTACGGTTACAGAGTTACATGATAGTGCACTTAACTCAGTTTATACTCAGGTGTAAGATAGCTTGGATGTCTCACAAGGAACTATATCAATTGACTATGCATATCATGTAAATCACATGAAAAGATATGTTTTTGGACGATAAATAGTTGTGTGTTTTTTTTAATTTAATCTGCAGCTGAAGGTTTTGACAATTAGTAGTTTATCAAAACGCGTGCAGCCATAAAACTAGTTTTCAATGAACAATATTGAATCAAATCCGCCATTTCCATTTTTCCTTTAATCTACAATTATCCAAAATACAAGATGTAAATAAATCTTAGTATCGATAAACAAGAATGGGAGACGTAGTATTGAAAAGAATATTAATGGTGAAAAATAGAGTCTGTTTATAACATTTCTTCAATACTTTATACTATTGAACTTTAAACATACATTATGCAAGAGCTAAGTCAAACCTTCAAAGGCTAATATCTTCACTTGCAATAGAGTAATTTGAATGAAATTTTCAAATTATTCATTTTACATTATCTATTTTCCAACTATTATAGCATAGCAAGAATGGCTAGCTCTTTATCTAAATCTTACATAATGTATCTTTAAATTTTGCTCTTTCTTTTTCTCTAGACCTGCTCCCGAAAACTCAGCTAATGAAATATGCACCAATGAACGGATAACATCAATTCCAGGAAACCAATCAATCACGAATGAACCAATGGCAGCAATTATTAATAGACAGTGGACAGCTGAACATCATAATGAACCACCAGTACCATCACTCGTAACTAAAACCCTAACACCCTCTATTTACATTGATCAGGATGGAAAAGTACAAATTGTAGTAAAGAAATCTTAACTTTATACCCGCCTTTATGTGCTATAATATATCAGTAATTAAGTCAGTCATTATCTGGTTGTATATCTCCATGTACAATAGCATAACATGTTAGTAATTAAGTCAGTTACATGTATAGTTGTATATCTCCATGTACAGTAGTATAATATGTCAGTAAGTAAATCAACTGTGATATAGTTGAATATTTCCATGTACAGTAGTATAACATGTCAGTAATTAAATCAGTTCTACTCTAGTTGTGTATCTCCATGTACAGTAGTATAACTCTCGGTGTCAACGCTAGCCTGCGATATTTATTGGATTAGGATCCGAATGGCTGCTCAACTTTCTATCATGATTTAATTATGAAATGGGTAATTTAGACTATGTTTTTTATCGTACCGACATCAGTAATGATGATCGAGGCTAGGCCGAAAATTCAATCGCTAAAATCTTGGTTCAAAATGGATCAATTCAAATGAAAGTTTCAGCAAATTGCATTTACGTCAGTGATGGGATTTTGCCCGTATATTCCGGACATGTTCGACGCTATTTTCTGAACTTCCAAAATTGTCCGACCAGGAATATGCCCAATCGGACATCAAGATATGGTAAATAATATTTAAAATTCCAAAATTAATATAGTGTACTGAGTGTATAACTACCACTCAACCCGATTATCGTTAATAATAGGCTGGATTGATTAGGTAATTAAGTGATTATCGTGTTATACCGTCTATACACCTAGCTTGATTAACTACTTAATCTACCATGATTGACTGGCTTAATCTACCATGATTGACTGGCTTAATCTTTTATCGGTCAATTCATCAATCTAATCATAAACAGATGTCATGGCTTCCCCTTTGTCGAGCTATTCATCAATCCAATAAGAGCGATTATAATTTTAATCACAGTATGTACCAACCGACAGCATGTATAAACTAGTCTTAGATGTCACATATCATTCGAGTACATGTATATAACACCCAAATCAATGGACAGTCATTTTGTTTACAATATCTTTTACGTCTTTTAAGGCTCCATATAGAAATTCTCATCCACAGTGGCACTTTCCCGCGATCTCGATTGCCGAACGAAAATCGCCTACAAGGCAGAGCTTACGATGAAGCTATGAGTCGCGTACGCCATACGCTGAAGGAAGCTTTTTATAAGTAGGTACGGATCGGCAAGCTTTCGTTCTATCGTATTACGAAAACACGTAATTTTATAGGAATATTACTGACATAAATTTGAAACGAAATGAAATGAAATGGGGTTTAACGTCCTACTGTTCTGCTCCTAACCTGGGCTAATGAAGACGGGCATACGCCATACAGTTTGCTATGAGGGGAATTTTGCTACGGCCTACTCTTGTATCGAATTCCAACTGCCAAGGGATCTTTTACGTGCATGCCAATATGTACACGGGACCTCGGTTTTCCGCCCCATCCGAACGACTAGACAGATGTCCTTGTCAGACATAAATTTGAACACCCCACGGGAATTAAATAGGAAAAATAACAAGGTGTTCCTATTTTTTTATTACGCGCGGTTTTGAATATTTTGTTGACATTTTATAAAGTAGAAAATGATTCTTATTCCGGAAGGTCTGCATTCATTTGCTGCCGTATTTTTATTATTATTATTATTTTTTATTATTATTTAATACATTTATATAGCGCATCTTTCACCAAAGTGTTCAGATGTGCTTAACAATAACAAAGTAAAATACAATTTATAATAAAAAGAAGTTCCTAAAAATTCAATTTATAATAAAAAAGAAGTTCCTAAATAAAAAAGTAAGAAGAGAAGGACAATGTAAAAATGACATAAATTTTTTTAAAACTACCCATAAAACAGTCAAATGTGTAAAATCAGTAAAAAGCCTGTTTGAATAAATGAGTTTTCAAGTGCGATTTGAATGTAATGATGGAAGGTGATTTCCGAATAAGATAAGGTAATTTATTCCAAATTAACGGTGCATAAAATGAAAAGGCCCTCTCGCCATAGGATGCTAGTCTGGCTCGAGGTTGTACTAACTGTAAATCGTCATTAGAGGATCTTGTGTTTCTCACCGAAGTGCGTATTTGTATCAATTCAGATAAGTATGGGGGTGCAAACCATTGAGACATTTGTATGTAATTAACAATATTTTAAAATCAATTCTGAATGATACAGGAAGCCAATGAAGGGTGTAAAGAATTGGAGTTATGTGCTCATGATAACCTACACCAGTAACCAGACGTGCTGCGGAATTTTGCAGTTTTTGTAGTTTTGAAATTAGCTTATCCGTATAAACAACAAAGACACGTAATGCCTACTATTGTGAATTTGATGCCGAAGCAGGAGTTATTTTGTAGGAATGTTACTGAGATAAATTTGATTACCGTACGGGAATTAAATATGAAAAATAGCGAGGTTCGCCTATTTTTATTACGTACGACATTTGAATACTTTATTGACAAGTGATTGACACGTTCAATTGCCGTTATCTAGTTTTTAGCTATTATAGTGAGAACTGCCAGCTCTTTATCTAATCCCATAATGTATCTTTAAGTCAGTTGTACTCTAGTTGAATATGTACAGTAGTATAAAATGGCAGTAATAAATTAGGGAGGTTGGATGGCCAAATGGTTAGCGTGTGCGCGCTGTGTCACAAGGTCTGTCATTAAGTCAACTGCCATGGTTTCAATTCTCCGGTTGTACGTGACAAGGAGTAGCATCGCCTTTCCAACCTCGTCGGTTTTCTCTGGGTCCTTCGGTTCCTCCCACTGCTAAAGACCCCTATGCGCAAGCGAATTATTGAAATGAAATGTTCTTTCTCGCTCAGTAATAAATTTAGTTATTATCTTGTAGTATATCACCATGTACAATAGTATAACATGTCAGTAATAAAGTCATCTTGATAATATGTAGTAATTAACTCAGTTATTATGTAGTGATATGTAAACCAGCATGTTATTGTTACTTCCAGCTGATCTTTTTTATTTCTGTGTAATAAACAGTGGCGTACATTTAGTGTATGAATTGGTTGAATTTGTGTAATAAAATATCTTTGTTTACTTATTTAAAAATGCAGATTTTACGTGTGTGTACAAGTCATTAACAAGATAATAAGAAAAACGAATTGGTAAATAATAAGGCGGGGGGGGGGGCACCTTCAGGTGCAAATTCTCCCTATACAGAGAATAGAGTGAACACTGGGGATCACATATTTGTTTGGATGGTAATATCTATTCGGCTTATAAATTAAATAAAACGAATTGGTGCAAATTCTCCCTGAAAGATAGTTTAAAAGGTCATAAGGGTATACTTAATTTCGACTAGTTTTGCACAAAGACAAAACGTCAGAGCAGAGCCATCAGATGTCCGAATGAACACGAAAATTATTCGATTATCCATGAAAGTATCATAACAAACTAAATATGTTAATTGCCAATATTTTAATAGGTTGTGCCAAAATTTCTTGAAACTAATTCATGTTTGTAGTAACGCCTCTTACGCATATATTATAGTCAAATGCATGAATTAAAGTGACATACCGTAAGAATTTTGACACCGACTACTGAACATTAGAAGGAACACTGGCGATGGCATATTTATTTGGGTACTAATATCTTTACCGCTTATTGAATCAAAATTTCAGTATGCAGGAAGTACACCCTTGGCAAAAATTCCTATAGAATACCAGTGTAGTTTTCTACAGAATTCTATAGAAAATCTATAGTTTTGTGTGGGGCGTGTCCCATTATAATTTGAGTACAGGATCTGGGGCCTATTTCACGAAATTTTAACTAAGATAAAATCCAAATTTTAGTAATTTGATTGGATAATATTAGGTTGATTTTAGTGCTTAGCCAATCAAAATTGAAGTATCTACTAAAATTTGGATTTTATCTTTAGTTAAAATTTCGTGAAACAGGGCCCTGCTATATTCATTAAAATCTTAACTAAAAGGATCACCCAACAGTCAGACTGTGTTCAAATAAACTTTGTCTTTATTTCATTGACTTATTTTAAGAATAATTTATTATCTGTTATTTTTGCTGTGAAGATCTATATACTGGCATTTTTCGGAGTGTCAACATGTATGACTATTTCATTCATAGTATATACACTACATTAAAATAATATTATTTTAAGATATTATTATTATTTTTTCGTGGTAAGCTTATTTTAGTTTGTCATTTGGTATCACAGTATATTAAGGAAAACTGCATCCAGGAAAATTCTGTTGGAAACTTTTACGTAATTCACACAAGTGCTTCACTAAATTCTATATTAAACTATAGTATGAATAAAAGACATCGCAAAATAATTATGAAATTTGTACATTGTAACTACATTGTTTTGTAGGAAACTATAGTTAAAATGGTTTAAGCACCGTATACATATAAATTCTACAAAAAACTATAGAAGACTCACCCGTTATATGTTTCTCCACAAAATCTATATAATAGACTTAAGACAATAGGTTAGTTCTATAGAAAACTATAGTTTTACCAGCATATCTATAGGAACCACAACTGACTTGAGTTTAGTTCTATAGCAAACTATAGTTTTTACCACAAAGGATATAGAAAACAATAGAACTCAATTGACTCGAGGATACAGGTTAGTTCTATAGAAAACTATAATTTTTCCAATAGTTTCTCACAGTATTCTATAGAATTCTTTAGGAAATTACACTTGGAAAAACTCATCTACCGACTCTTTACAAAACTAGAGTAAATGATTTTGAATCTATAGTCCTGTGTAAAAGAACTACAGAATGAATTCGTTTTCCGGCAGCATTCTATAGAATCCCACAAACTTCTATAGGAACCTATAGTTTTTCTATATAGGACTTTTTCATAAAGGCACAGCCGCATAAAAAAATTAACCCCACCTTTTGTGTGTATCAAATTGACATGTGTTAATGTTCGAATAACACAGAGAACAGGGGAAATATATACCGAACGTAGTTTTGGTCCACTGACCTGGTAGCTTTTATAATGCGATAGTCAACTTAAATATTGAATTCATTTCTAAATCATAATCAACAGAAAATGTCAGTATCATTCTAACTTTGATGATTACACTACGACGGGTACAGATGGTTAAAATCTGCGTCAGAAATATTAAAGTAGCACAAACAATTCCTTTGTTAAAATGAATATGTCAATCATTTTTCAAAAATATTATATAATACATTATTAATGTCGACAATGATTATTCAGGTGAAAACTCAGAATTTTGGGATACAAGTTCAGTTTGAAAATATACCATGCCTACATTAAACTTATTTAAAAAGTCAATCAAGCAAGTTTGCACATTTGTCGAAAATTAGGTTTATTTTTTCTTTTGCTGGAAAAAGGAAAGAGGCGAGTTAAGAGCAACTTTAAGCCGCATTTCAAATTTCACAAAGGAAATAACAGGAGAGATATGGTTTTTTTCTCGACGGTATCGATCCAGAACACATACTCATCAATTAGAAACCATATCTAAACTACCAGGAAAAATATATTTATCATGAAGACGATTTATTGAGAATCTTCTGATTTTGAAACAGCTATCATAACTTAGTTTACTTGCAATACGCCAGATAATTGAACACTGGTGTAACCGAGTAACACCTGAACAAAGCACGCAGAAAGATAAAAACGGAAGAGTCCGTACCCTGAGATCGATAGAAGAGTCTCACGGAAAAAAATAGCTTAGTTGAAATAATAAAATCATTGGCAACTTTAATAGTGCGACGTTAAACAAATATTCTCGTTATCAAGCACGGTAGGCAATAATATCATACAAAAAGCTAGTTGACCCCCCTTTATTAACGCTAAGTAATATTTAACTTTTTAAATTATTGTAAATATGTATTTATTTCAACCTACTTCTAAGCATGATACTCGAATTTAGCTTTTGATATTTCAATAAAGTAGGGCCTACCACTGAAGCTAAAGTTAGACTATACTTGAGAATCGGTCGACCAATCGCGTTACACATATTGCATGTAGGGTTGTAGCACCATGGATCTTGTGTCAGACGTGGGAAGCGGGCCTCCGACAAACCGGTCGCCAGATCCTGCGTATATCCCATGCACCTTTTCTTACTACATATCTTAATAGTCTTATGATCCTCTAGTATTTTCAATTGTCTACTTTGGTTTCCTTTTCACGTTGTGTTTTCTCTTCTTCTTTTCCAAGTACTTAAGACGGTTGTCTTACCAGGAATAACAATGCAGCAATTCAGTTTAACATTTTATATAAAGCACTGATAGGAACTCAGATGGTAATCTGTCCACAACCCAAGGATATGTAAACTTGCCAGAGTCCCTTTTATAGGACCCATATGACCAGGCTATTCATGACCCTGAATCTGTGCAAGTACTGATATGATTGGATGGTAAGCCAAATGATGCAATAGGAATTTTTACAATCACGTGTTAAACATGATATTCTGATTCCCACGGAAACCAGATGTGTTTACCAAATTATAACTCTTTCTTATATGTCAACTTATCAACATTCACTCAATTTGATTTAAGTGCACGAGACAATATGACTTCTATACAATGTGCGAATCTAATAATTAGCCAAAGATATTATTAATACAATGCTACTAATTTAAAGAGCAAAAAAAAAAAATCTACCAATCTTGATACAGGATGCGTTAGAGTCAGCTCATAAAAAAGGGGGGGGAAATATTCTAAAATCTTCTCTCTTTTCAAAATGTAGGGCACCTTCAGAATCTTTTTACATTGTGATGTCTTCTTGGAGCATCCCTTTCCAATACTCTAAATAAAAATCAACCCAGACCCTGCAATATTTTAAAGGGGCGTGTTCGTGTCTACGCCGTAGTTAATTTGTTTTGTGCGTCCCTTGAATTAAAACAGAAGAGAGAGTTTAAGTTCCAATACTGTATTGTGTAATCATAATAAAATACAAAATCAATATAATATAATGTACAATTTTAAGTCAATAGATTTACATATGAACTATGAGTTATAAAAGAATGGGGGGGGGGGCTAACTCACTTGGCTGTGCAGAGGCTCTATTTGTAAATCACTTTACGTGTGTAATTGTAGGAGGCGACACGTGTACTTGATAAGCGGGCGTTGCTGCCGAATTGTCATTTAGACGTAAATTAGTTACATCTATATTAAGCTAATCATTTGTTCGTTTGATTTAGCTCTTAAAGCTTACATATGCAATTTACGCTCATGCATTAAAAATGAATATGATTTAGCGTGCATATTAAAGTGCAGCCAACATTTTTGAGCTCAAACTGAACATTGACTAACGAATATAATTTGCGAACCATATGTTGCCATGGTTAATACGAAATGATAAAATATAGTACAAAAAGGTTAACGAATATTTATACGTGAAATAAAAACAGAACTATGGCTGTCCAATATCTACTAGTAGCCTATATGCTTAAATAAGTCCATAATTAAACCAATCGCAACTTATAAACATTTGAGATACATGTGAGAAATTACATTTTATATACAAGAAATAATGTTTGGCTAAATAAAATATAATGGAGAATAAAATCATGTAAGAATAAATAATGTAAATAACATTTTAGCTGATGAGGACATCAAAACAGAATAACGTGGCTTACCGTACCTTGAATTAAAACAGAAGAGAGAGTTTTAGTTCCAATACTGTAATGTGAAGAAATTGATGATGATGGGTTAGTTGTATTTTACGTCCGCTTCCACCGAGGTGATATCGCAGACAATGACGTGTTATGTGTACAAGGTGCATTAATTTACAATGTGATTAGTGAGAAATAATAGGATGATTAGGTTTTCATATATATGTACATAGGACAATAAACAACAGTAGTATAACATGTGCAAAGGACGAAACAGGTGCCAGTAGACATATCAAGGGATATTAATCTGAAAAGGCTGCCACGTGCATTTACCCAATTCTGAATGACTTGTCTGTAATCTACCCCTCTATAATATCCTGTACTGCCAGCAGCTCAAATGTGTAACATCATCTTACAATTATAGTTGTAAGTGCCACATTTCCAAACCCTGATCAGAACTTTGACAGACTGGCATAATCTATCAAAGGAGAAGTCTTGTGATCCAAAATTTGAGGTTATGACCTATGTACCAGGTTTTTTTTTATAACTTTTCCAGTGATAATTAAAACGCAGCAATAGCCGGCAAATCATGTCACTGAGGAAAAACAACAAAATAAAGTAAGTGGGAAGTTGCCACTGCACATGAAA